CCGTCCATACGTCCGTCCATACGTCCGCCCGTCCGTCCATACGTCCGCCCATACGTCCGCCCGTCCGTCCATACGTCCGTCCATACGTCCGTCCATACGTCAAATTTCCAAATAAGCTGCCCGTGCATAAATCAAAGGGTTTGTCTTAAAATGGCCATAACAATGTTTTAAAAAATGCTAACCTATAATACATCCTTTACTACTAGCTTCTTGTTACTACTAGTAAGGCACCTGTTACTACTAGCGTGGCACTTGTTTCTACTAGCTTCTTATTACTACTAGTAAGGCACTTGTTACTAGAAGCGATGCACTTGTTACTAGTAGCTTCGCTGGGAGCTTCTCAAATTCAACTCCGGAGCAACTTTCTATCTTCAAAACCCACCATGCAAGGCGAATAAGAAAGCCTGTAAATGGATCCTGGATGATCTTCATCCCCACAAAAGGCCACAAACCTCTTCTTTTTGCCAATCTTCTCTTCGTTTTAGTCAGGCTGCAATCTCCCCATACGCGAAGAAGGCCAGCATCGTGGCGACCTCCGTAAAACAAAAACCAGCCAAGTGCAGCCGGCACGTGTACTCTATGAAGTCACATGCTTGTCAAGAATGGTTTCTTAGCCAAGACTAGGCAAGCATCAGCACAGTAGGCCTTCCATGATCTTTTCATTCTCAGGGAATGGATGAGTGGATGCGCTTCTGATATCTCCATAAAACATCTTTGAATCGAAAGCATACGAACGGGCCAAACACGTCCCGTCCTAAGTAGACTAAGTGACTCTTACTCTTGCGGGAGCTTTTCAGGTGCCCAAAGTGATTCTTGGGGTTTCAAGCTGTCCATAAATCAGGACCCCTCAAGTTTGTGGCCGGTGGCCAATCATTCTTTCAGTCTATTAAGGATGGCTAGAACACATTAGACAATTTTGGACAAAAGCCTACCGCGAGCAAAGCCGCTGCAATGCAAGTGCCAACTGCTTTGACAATCACCTGAAGAACAACACATAATCATCCGCTTTGGCAACCGGTTTGCGGGGTTGGTTGAAATATCTTGTTGCTGAGGATCTTGGGCCACCCTTTTGGCCACTAACAAGGATACATTTGCAGCGTTTGTGGGAGGGGGTGAACAACACATCTCAGCCCTTGTCCTTGCAAGATCTTTCAACTGGGCCTTGCATCGTGTGATGAGGGTCCTGCTCGTCAAGCCCCAACAAAAGCTTTGGGGCTCCTGGCCTTACTACTAGGAGCAAGAACGCTACTAGGGGCTCCTGGCATCGCTACTAGGAGCAAGGACGCTACTAGGGGTTCCTGGCGGATGGCTAAGCATGGCTAAGCGGCACCATTTTACTGTCCCCGCTCGTGACACCCTGCAACAACGGGTCACGGGTGGCCTGCTCACGGAGCTCGGCCAACTCAGCCTGCCCGTTTTGCGGAGAAGCTTTTGGGAGTTTTTGGTGGCCAGATGTGGCCACTGGGCACATGGGTTTGGCCGGACATGCCGGCATGAATGGCATGATGTCTCGATTCCGAAAGCCCATCAGGTTACTAAGAAGTACCCCAAACTATGTTCTCCTAGAGTGCATCAAGACCAACCAACCAAAGGCCGATTCTTGCTTCATGTAAGAACTGATTGAAGTTAATCCATGCAGATTCTTCTTGGGCTCCCACATACAGCTACACCCACTTCGCCCGGTTGCAACAAGTCCCTTCTGTCCCATCCCATTGCATCCACCAACATCCTTTAGTTGCTAGTACTTCCACTAATGCCAGTAGTAAGACCTCAGGTCTGAGGAAGGCCCTATCTCCCTTTTCGTACACAATGCAGATAAATCTATTTCTGGGTAGAGCTGGCCCCCAGGCTTTCAGCTTCCACGCTTCAGTCTGTGAGTTCTTCATGGCCTTCAGCTGCTGAAGTTCGGCCGAAGCTGTTTGAACCATCTGCTTCAAGGGCTCTGGTGGTGCCTCGACAAACCCAGCAGAGACTGAAACAAATCCAGCGGAAGGTTTGGATGGATAGCTAGATGCTCAGCTGATGGTCAATTGTCAAATGATTCTTCAGCGGTTGCTTGGACTGGTTGGCTTCGTGAGAACGCGAGGATGAGATCGGTGGCTTCACCATTGGATTGATTCGGTTGCTTCGTGGCTGGCTTTTACCTGGGTGCAATGGACGGGGATTTCGCAGCACATCCCGTGCGCTGTTGCGAAAGAAACCGAGACCATCTGTATCCGTCAACTATCCCGTCCCAGATGAAGCGCCTGTGCGATCCGCATATAGACATCGCGCAAGAGGTGCTTCGCGATGATGGAATTCCTCAGAGGAAAGGCAGCAATGCACAAAGGACAGTTTGTGTGTTGAATGTTGACAAAGCAAAGTCCTGTGGTTGTTGAATGGACCGGAGTTCTCAGGTCTTCTGCTAAGAGGTTTAAGTCATCAGTATGGTGGTCAACCCTTCTTCCACTTCTACCCTGGATGAAGGATGAAGGTTTGATGGTTCGAGGAATGGGTTGTGTCCAGGGAGCGGGATTGAAAATAGAATTCAGTTCAGCCCGCACCTTGTCCGCAGCATTCACTCAGCGAAGGTCGATTTCTCTGCCTCTCCAACATGAGGCCATCGCTAGTAGGTTGGAGGCCATCGCCAGCAGGTTCGAGGCCATCGCTATTGGGTTGGAATCCAGTTCAGCCCCTCAAAATCCCAGGTGCGAAAGCTCAGCGTCAGCTACAGCCTCCACCTCAGTGTCGTCCTGGGGATGAATGGCGTAGCTCGCATGTCCAGTGAGCAAAACGAGGGGAAAGAACCCAAGATGGGAAACGCAATATAAAACACAGTTTTGGTAAGCTAACCTAATAGTGATGTCCATCCTAAAAGTGGTGGCATAGCCTCCAAGCTAATAGCGATGGCCTCCAAGTACACAATGATCCACCGTCCGACTTGAGACGTCGCCCATCAAGTCGCTCATCTTCACGAAAGAGAGAAGGGAAGGTCAAACATGGTAAAAAAGAAAGGTCAAACGATATGTTTACATTAAAAACATATCAACATATCAACATCAAAAACATATGCTTACATATATATGGTCAAACATATCAACCTTTTGAATCTTGTGCATTTAGACTCTTTTTGCCTTTCGAAATGCCTCTCCTCTACGTCATCCCCGATGAAGAACCGCTCAGGAGGAGGGTCGAAGGCCTCGCTCGGGGCGCCCCGAGGGCGAGTCGTTGGCTCCAACCTAATAGTGATGGTCTCCAAATTCATTTGTTGTAAGTAGTCAAACTCATTGAAATTTCAGTTTTTTGTCAAACTCATTTAAAACGTGAAGAACTTCTCAAGCTTCCGAGTGTGCTTCCAGCACTTTTGTGGCTCTAGCTGATGGTCATTTGAGAGAGACGCTGGACCACAGTTTTACAAGTTTGCGCACTGTCTTTCCTGAGGCTATCGCTTGCAACACATATTGCAACAAGAAACCAACTTGATCCACTCAACTCTTGCTCAGCCACTCTTCTACACTACTTCGCCCTCACTTTTCTCCCTGAAGCCTTTGGCAGCCACCGCCTGTGAGTTCCAATCATCTACCATCAACTGGAACTCACAGGCCCTGCTTGGTCGACACGGTGCTGACACGGCACCGGGAAGGCTTGTCGCAGCAGCTGCCGCGCCAGCTGCACGTCGTCGCCAAAGGCTGCCAGGTCCAGTGCCAGGTTCGGCAGCGGCATGGAGGCCTAAAGGACCACGAACATGAAACATCTTGGGAAAAATGGTTCCTAATAGCAAACATTGTTCCTAGTAGTACGGCCAGGAGCCCCGTTCGTAGCGTCCTTGTTCCTAATAACTTCCATTTGATGGAATGAACATCTTGGGAGCGCTTAAGGAAAGCTAAATTGGGTGGCCGCTTAATTGCGGTCTTTGGTGTCACACGAGTGATAAAAGAAAGAAACAACTGGTAACAAGAAGCTACCAGTAAAGTGCATATTAGTTAACTTTCCCTAAAATTTTAGGAACCAAATGAATAGCGCGAGTTATCCTGCGTCCTAAGTAGTAGCTACTTAAGCTACTACTAGCTACCTCTCCCTTACTTAAGTAGGGAGGAGGGGGAGCGGGCAAAAAACAATCGGACTCCAACTTCCGAGCTGCGAGGCTTCGAAGCTCCTGCAACTCTTCCAGCAAAGTCCTGTCACGCCGTGCGGCAATGCCAAAGGTCCCATGGTCAGATGCGCTGTCCCAGGGTGCTGACGTCACAACCGTGACCCGAAAAAAGAAAAGAAACAAACACACAGCAAACACAGTGTCACACATCACACAAACACAGATGTCACATTGCCCTGTAGAGGTGCTGCTCTCACGTGGTTCTTCTCTGCAGGTCGTTGGTGCGTCTCTAATTTTAAAACACCGAGCTGCGAGCTCACAAGCGCCAAGTGTTCTTTCCTGCCAGGTTCTTCCTGAACTCATCTTACCTTTGTTTGTTCCTTTTTTTGGCCCGCTCTCGCTCCTAGGCCATCGCCATTAGCTTGGAGGCCATCGCTATTAGCTTGGTTGTGGCGTCAACGCTTTCCCGTGAGAAACACACAAATGGCCCAAGGTTGATGGAAATAACAGCACCAAATGACCGAGGCAACATCTTGGACGAGGTACTGAGGCAGCTGTGAGTGCTGCGAGGACAGCTGCATGACCAGGACGTGGAGCCTTGTGGAAAGAGACGAGTCGTAGCCATCTTGAAAGCATCCTTCGTCCTTTTGTGTATTCTTTTCTTCTTAAAGAGATCTTTTGAGACTCCTTCTTGAGATCATTCTTTTTAGTCCTTTTGAGGGAGGCAGAAGTAGAAGACGTAGGCAAGAGGTAGCTAGTAGCTCCAGTGTACAAGCTATGTGGTCCACCTTAGCTACCAGGCTTGGGACGCAGAAGAAACCTCATGATCAATTTGTTTCGATTTTTAGAGAAGCTGATACCCCAAACTCTTGGACCAAGGTTCGCTACTAGGAGCAAAGGGCATCGCTACCGCTACTAGGAGCAAGGGCCTTACTAGTAGTAACAAGAAGCCATTAGTAAATTAGAATTTAATTAGAATTAAGTGTAATTAAAAGCAAAGGAGGCTACTAGGACCTATTACAAAAACTTTTGCAAACTCTTGGACCTCTATTTCCTTCCTTTTTGTGGCCAACGGGCCATGGAGGGCCGATCGGTGTATTTCCGACTTGCCGACCCGCTAGCTCACGAGCACGGAGAGCTCATCAAATGCATCCTTCCTCAAAGGCTAAAACAAGAGCGATGTACTACTAGTAGCGATGCACTTGTTTCTAATAGCTTCTTGTTACTACTAGTAAGGCACTTGTTACTAGAAGCGATGCACTTGTTACTAGTAGCGTCCTTGTTACTACTTCTCATTGATCGCTGGGCCAAGCTGAAGGCCAGTCTTGCTTTGCCGTTGTTGTTGGAGATAAAACCCGTGGAACAAAGGTGGTCCGTGCAAAGCCATTTGTACTCTCTCTCTCTCTCTCATGGCTATGGGCTATGGCCTCCACCCTAGTAGCGATGGCCTCCAGGCTATGGCTATGGGTCTTGGTTGTCTGTTTATGTAATCCTTGTTGAGCAAACCAGTCTGACCATTTGACCTGCGCCAGCAGGACGCCCATCCATGAGGTCTAGTTTCGCTTGTCACAAGGCTTGGTGTTCACCAAGTGGTAATATCACAGAAACTATCATAGTCCTGAGATTTGCATTCTCCACATGTGGGTCACTCACGAATCAGAGTCAGATCCGGATCAAAGACCTTCAAGACCACCCTCCTTCCGCTCCATCTCATTCCAGGCTGCAAAGTGATCCGTTGGTCACCAGTGGCTTTGCTCAACCCCAAGCGAGGCAATACCTGCTCAGACAGCACAAATCAACGCAAAAAGGGGAGCTTTCTGCTTGGGATCCCGATGCGTCATTACCCTTGTAGTGCAAAAAGTATCCTGACAAGAGACCCAGTGTATCATGGTGGATCTAAAGGTCCAAAGTCTAGAGGTGTAGAACCCCTAGTGTCACCACACTGTTGGGGGAAAAACATGGAAGCCATCGCTCTCAGGTTGGAGGCCATTGCTATTAGGTTTCATTACCCTTGTAGTGCAAAAAACACCTGGCAGTATGGTGCTGTCGACTGTCCTGACTCGATGGGTGGTTCCAGGTGTCGTGCCCTAGAGCGACCACCACCACGACGACGACGACTACTACTGCTAATACTAGAGTTGCTAGAAGAAATGCTTTTAGCAACATAAAGGCATTTTAGAAGTTAATGCACGAACAATTGCTGAATTACTCCCGCTCAGATAGGACCATGGAAACAATAAGTACTGCTTGTCAGTGCAAAGAACACTGTTTCCGCCAAGTAGTCTATACTTGCATTTACTAAGATGGCAGTGGAAATACTCGTTTATACTTGTTTAATTGGCCTCCTACCACTCCATGGGTTTAGTCAGTTGTCTGCGCCTCCAAAGAGAAGCCCTCGACCTTCCCACCGTTCAGCGTGTTCCCCAAGGACAGCAAATGTCGAAGGGTTTCGCTCAAGGCACCTCAGATCGATGTCGGTGCCGTGCCACAGCTTCGTTCCACTTGGCTCGGTCTCGTCGAAGGATCGGAACCGAAGGTTTTCACGATGTTTGCGTCGCTCTGAGCTCTTTGAGTCTCTTTGAGCTCTCATCTTGGTGCTTTTGTTGCAAATCTGGGGGAACTTGGGGACTTTAAAGAAGTCAACAAATTATGATGGCAGTGGTGAACAAGAACAGCTACTTGCGGGTGACGCAGACTATTGGGAGAAACACCAAAAACCAGTTGTTGCTTGACAATGCGCTTTGACAAGTAAATTTCCCTCATCAAACGATTGAGTGGTCGTGTTGGATGTTGGCCCTGTAAAAACAAGTGAGGGGGCCCGGTACAGCTTCTACAAGGGCATCAAAAGGAACCTCAAGGAAACAGTCAAAACCAAAAGGCTATGAAAAGGATCCACTTGGAAATCAGGAGAAATCTCCCTCTGGTAAAATTTTGCTCCAAAACAAAGCTCCATACCGTCCATTCTTATGTTTTGGATGGGGCACCACAACTACCCACCGGATCATTCCCACCGTTGAACACCACACCTCAGGACACACACACTATTAGAAACAATGTTCGCTACTAGGAACAAGTGCATCGCTTCTAGTAACAAGTGCCTTACTAGTAGTAACAAGAAGCTATTAGAAACAATAAGCTTCTAATAGCTTCTTGTTACTACTAGCGATGCACTTGTTCCTAGTAGCTTACGTCCGAACGAACACATTCCTTCCATGCGGCCAACCCGTGACTCCGTCGGTCCGGAGCCAGTCCACATCGTCCCGAGGCACGGCTCTTCAACACCGCCGTGGTGCCTCGACGCCACACCTGCGGATGGTTCGCCGGTGCCAGTTCCGGTGGAAGACCCAAGAGCTCGTAGAGTCACCTAGAAGTGGGATGGGGAAACTTGAATTTACGCACCTAGCAGGTTTAATGTGTCTAGTCGAACATGTTGCCGAAGACTTGGTGTGTCAGTAGTGGCAGTGGTTCAGATGTCTGGTGCTGCTACTTGGATGATCTATCTTCAAGCAAGAAAGGACCTATCTTGCAGCCGCTTTTGGCCCTTCTCCCTCAAACGAGCATATCCAACCTGGTAATGCCACTTTAAGGCAAGGTTTCTTTGTAGGTTGGAGGCCATTGCTATTTGGTTTCTTTGTTCTGAAGGTTTCTTGTCACAGCCAGGCCCTCACGTTCCTCCGCGCCTGGAAGCCACGATGGAGCTCCTCGGCGCGGCCCTGGAGCTCTCGCTGCAGCAGCCCCAGCTGCAGCCGCTGCTGCGCCGATGGGCTCAACACGCTGAAGGGCAGCAGCTCCTCAAGTAAGCGAGGTGCCAGTGGGATGTGGCTCGAAGATGCTGCGAATTCCAAGAACAATTAGTCCAAGAAATGCATCGATAATTAACATCCGTTGCTTATGGATCTCATTCACTCCGTCTCTGTACACAATCTTTAAATATACATTAATATACACACATAGATATGTATCACCCCATCGAACTCCATTCATCAGGCCCTAGCCTCTTTTTCACCTACCCATGACCGCTCCCCATGATAGCTTGCAGACATGTCGTCCTGCTCAAGGCGCCGCAGCTGTGCTGGGTCACCCCGGTAGCCCAGCAACTGCTTCGCCTCCTGGAGAACGCCAAGGCTCGTAGAGGATAGAGGGTAAATATTTGCATCCACTTACCTTTCTATATCTATATCTATATCTATACTATAGTATTTTTGTTTACATGGAAAATCAAAGGACATGATCTTCCACCGCATGAGGACCAAACCCCTCGCTGTGAATGAGTACCTCACTGTGAGGGCAAAAGAATCCTTGGGGGGCCCATTGGAGCTTTTGCCCTCTCTGCTTCTTGTTAGTACTAGTAACAAGTGCCACGCTAGTAGTAACAAGTGCTTTACTACTAGTAACAAGGAAGCTATTAGAATTAAAGTAAACACATCTCATCTTTTCCGTTTCGGCAGTCGGTCTCGCCATGTCTCACCGTGTCACGCCTCCTCAGTGGGCATGGCGCTCAGCAAGACCTCCACCGTTTCAGTGCCTCGGGAGGTGTTGGCCGCACCGTTCCCCGCGCGTTTTTCATTTCTTGCATGGTAAATTCTCTTTCTTTCTCTGTCTAAAGCCCTTTTTAACATGTTCTTTGGTAGGAAGAGACCATACTTTGGGGGGTTGGTGATCCAAAATATAAGTCACTCGGGTTTCAGGTGTTTCATGGTGTTTCAAGTAAATGGTCGGTGAGTGAACCAACCAACACAGTTGATTTTTTCAACCTCGGCTGATGCCCGCGCGCATTTGTGGTGTCTTTCGTGCTGGCCAACCTCAGAACCGGCCGACGGCCGACGGGTCGAGGTTTGATGCGGTCACTGCTGCTGAGGGTGGCAAAGTCGATGTCTTCCACAGCCTTCAGAAACTCCGTCGTGAGCGGCTGGCGCCTCTGAGGAAAGGGTCGAGCCCTCGTGTGTATTTTTCGCGGGTGAAGCACTTGGAAGGGTTCTCGTTCTGAACTGCCATGTTCTTAACAGTCAAATTTGCTTACCAGCCCGCTTGAATCTGTTCAAAGAGGATCCGCAATGCTCTCTGCCACACCTTTTTCCAGGTTCTCTTGAAATAACAGCGCCCGTACATATAAACTGTATAAACTATAACTATATACTACACTTCCCAATGCTCTTGCATGGAAGGGAATAGTCAAGGAGCAATGAACAGCGCTGAATTCTTCCAGGAATCTTGTGCCCGGAACTCCGGTGAAACATTTTTCGCCGTATTGCAGCACCGGTGGGTCATTTCAGGCGTCGAGGACCAATCTTTCCATTAGACACGCGGCAGCCGCTGGTGCCAAGCCGGGCTCAAAGGGAACAAGGCGAGAATAAGGAGGCGCCCTTGACAGCTTGGATCAAGGGCCGAGGCAAAAACGACAATTTGTAATCGCAATGTATAGTTTTGCCTTGTTGGTCTTGGTGATCAGGAGATTTGCTAAGAAGCTTCCAATATTTTAAAGCTTCTTCTAACGGAGGGGGCTCAAATATAGCAACCTTCTGAGCTGGCTTGAATTCCTCCAGTGCTCTAGCAGGAGGTCTCGGACTTCCCTCAAGACCAAGATGGCATCTGAGCGGGCGGTGACGGCAAGCCAATCAGTGCTTATCTTGATGCACAAGTGCATGGAGGTCAAGATGAAGCCACGGCTTTGAGTTTCTTTGAGGTGCTTTGGGCTTTGGCCACTTTCAATCAACTTACATCTCAGTAGTTGCCTCCTAACCGTCGCTCACGTACGAGAAGGCGACAAGTTGCCAAATTCTGGAGCGACTCTTCTGATTCCACAATTGAGCTAGCGACGGACTCTGTCAAATCTTTCGGCCGTAGGAGGTTGTTGTCGGAAACAATATGAGGAAATAGAAGGTCCTGCGGTTCCTGCTGGAGCTGCGGGGGTCAAGGAACGAAGTGAATGAAGGGGGACTCAATCCGCAGACGCAGCTGGCTTTGGAAGCGTTGCATCCCAAGCTCCTTTGAGATCGCGTGAGTGTTCTGCTTCATTCTGAGCGGGCCAGGTCATGACAGCTTCCTCCACCGTCAAAGTCTGCAGCCATCGCAGCGGCCCAAAAGTGAGGATATTTATATTGAAAAGCGTGCGCGCAGCGAGCGAGGCTACGGCCGTGCCAGGAGTGTTCGGAAGCAGCGGCCAACACTGTCCCCCAGCCGCTGATGTTGGAGGACGAGCGAGAGCAAATGCCGCTGCTGCCAGTGCAATGTCGTCGTTGACTCCGACGTTTGAGGTTGTCTTCACTTCATGTGGGGTGTTTGATTCAACTCTGTGTTCTCGACCGTGTGGGCAAAGTTGAACATACATCTGCTTCCGTTCGGATTGGCCAAAACGAACAACTGGACCTGTGTTCTTCGTCTTCAGCGGAAAAGGACAAGCACACTCTCTTGTGGGTGAAATTCGGCCTGGGGCCCACCGATGGCCCCGGCTCTGGCATCGTGCAGGGTTGAGAGCGGCTCCACCCCTGCCGTTGACCCAGGGGGTTAGACCTGGTTCCTACCTACGTCGCTGTGGGTTTACAGCGCTTTTTGCGCGTTCAAAAACATCGCGTTTTACAGTGTTTCGTGTGCTTGGATGGCGGCCACGTCAAAAAGCCGTGGTTATTTTGTGGTTTCGGCCTTGGAGAGGGCCGGGATGGAAAAAAATGCATCTGAAGAGTATGTCAACATAGATGTGCAAAATACCACCAACATACCCCATAACATAGCCTAACACAGGCGCTTAATGCTAGAAATGCGGGTCGCACCGGCATGCATAACCTGCATCGTGTGGTGGGCCCCTCAACCGCGACCGCAACCACAGCAATCACAACCATCTGCAACAACGACGACGACGACGACGACAACAACAACAACAAGAACAACAACAACCATCTGCAACCACCCACCAGTGGTGGGCCTCTGGCTTAAATCTGTAAAGTGCTGCAAGAAAACTGCTGATCAAGAAGCGCCCGCGATCGAAACTTGTCGGATGCCGCTCTGCGCGCACCAACCGTCAGCCTGAAGGCGATGAGCATGTTCTGGGCTCGTCGTTGAGACAGGATCTCAATCTCCTGCGCGGTCTTGGTCGTTCTCCGACAATGCATTAGAGCATTCAGGAAACTCACGTGAAACACATCACCGTGGTAGCAGAAAGGAGCTTGCAAAAAGTATGTTTTTCATGTCCACTTCAGATTTTGAAAGTCTAAGCAAGGACTTCTCTGCTAGCTTCTTTGTGGCTGGGCAAATCTTCCAAGGAGGCAAGACTTGAAACTTGGAAGATGGGTACATCTCACGGCAAGACCCAGCTTCTATGAAGGTCAACCCCCAAGAAGAGTTGGCAAAGCATCCTTCGGGCTCATGTGAGAAGGTGTTAAGTGCTTCTAGCGGACATGTATTAGCGATGGCCATCAACCTAGTAGCGGTGGCCACCAACCTAATAGCGATGGACTCCAACCTACTAGCGGAGATTAGGTCCGCAGGAGATAATCTCCATCTAAACTTGCTCATTCTATGATGCCTGGTGGACCGCTCGTCCTCCTGTTTGGAAAAGAATCACCTGCTGGAGCGACTAGTGCATTTCTACACTACCCGGACAGGCCTCTGGCACAGCAGGAGCACACTTGGCCAGCTCCGCTTTGTGTCCTTAGACTGCACAAAGCCCATGAATTTCTTCATGAACTTCAGTAAGCTCTTCTCTTCATGATGCAAAGGTTTCTTCTTCCAAATGAGCCCTTCTCAGTCCTTCTCTGGAAAACTTACACCCACCGCCCTTCACAGTACAAGCCTTTGACATCACGACGACACCATCAACACCATGATTGCGTGAAGTTCTTGGGAAGCTTTGCACAAGAGAACAAAGCTTAAGAAATGAAAAGAACAGAAAAGAACAAGAAAGAACATGAAACAAAAATAACACACTCTGCTCAGGCCTTGGGGAGGTCACAAGGCTTCTTCCACTCATATCGCCTCCTATTTGAAGGCCCTTTCTACCTTCTTTCCCTTTTTCCGGACTCGATTTTTTGGACAACAAAATCCCTTCTTAATTCTTTTGGACTCTTCTTCCTTTCTTTCTGGACTCTTCTTTCCTTTTTTCCTTTCTGACCGAGCCGCCGAAGTGCAGCTCCAGCAGCGCCGCGTTTACCGGTGGGGAGCTCCCCACGGAGCGCAGCACGTCGAAGACCTCGTTACATAGCGCATCGAAGCAGACCGACACGTCGACAGTGGAAGCGCCGTGGAAGGAAAAAGACCCTATTCTTCGATGGCCTCCAACCTAATAGCGACGGCCGCCAACCTGATAGGGATGGCCGCCGACCTACACTCATGATGGTCTTCAACCTACTAGCGATGGCCTCCAACCTGATAGCCATGCCCATAGGGATGGCCGCCGACCTACTAGCGATAGTTTTGTTTTTTCCAGAATACCTGGTATTTCCATCTCACCATGGAAAAAGATGGGTTTTGGTTTCTCAACCCACAAATTTGTGGGTACAAGGTTCAGAAGGTATATATATATATATAGTCATGTATTTGTGGTCTATTGTGCTATTCAAATCTCAGGATCCATTTGTGGTCTATTGTGGTCTATTTGTGGTCTATTGGTCCATTTGCAACACTGTTTCCAGTAGCGTGGCACTTGCAACACTAGAAAGCTCAGGTGGCATCTCGGCCGAGCAGCAGTATCTTTCAGCCTCTCACCGCCCAAGGCACGCCAGTCCAACCACCTGGGCAGTGAATGTGAGAAACAAGTGCCCCCCTAGTAACAAGTGCCTTACTAGTAGTAACAAAAAGCCATTAG